AAACAGACTTCTGTTTCTTCTGTTCCTTTAAATGGGAATTACAGAATTCTCTCTTCATACAGGCACTTTGACAAGCACTGCTGTCCTACAAACCTACCTCCAATCAGAATCTTCTCTTTACTTTCAAAAAAACAACACCGCTAATCAGCAGCGATCATTGTAAGCACGCGTCTTGCTCTTGAAATTGGCATCCCATCAAAAATGTCAGAAGCTGCAGCTGTGTGAAGATGAAATTGGCCTTGTGCACAGAACAATCACATTAGATTAGAGCACTGGAAACCTTGAACTAGGTTTGACTTCATGTTAGGGATAGCTTTTTTTAAAAGCAGACATGTAAAGAAATCTTAATTATCTAAGATTACCATACCCAGTTTACAGAATTTCAGGAAATCACTAGATGGCAGCATACATTTAAAAAAAAACTATTTATTGCCATCTAATGGACACCCATACTTTTGCAGTCTGGTAGCCTTATTTTATATATTAAATGTATTTATTTTATTTTATTTATTTGTCAATCACTTACAAAATAACAGGTATAAGAATAAACATGAGTAAGAATACAGGAAATAGGTATGAATAAATGGGGACAATAGGACAGGGACGGTAGGCATGATTGCACACTTATGTACGCCCCTTACAGTCCTCTTGGGAATGGGGTGAGGTCAATAGTGGATAGTTTAAGGTTAAAGGAGTGGGGGTTAGAGGATGTAACTACAGAGTCAGGTAGTGCATTCCAGGCATTCACCACTCTGTTGCTGAAGTCGTACTTTCTGCAATAAAGTTTGAAGCAGTTGACATCGAGTTTGTATCTGTTGTATGCTCTTGTATTGTTGCGGTTGAAGCTGAAGTAGTCATTGACTGGTAGGACATTGTAGCTTATAATTGTCTCCCTGAGTTCTTGCTGATTCAGTCACTGATTAACTTTCCACAAGCTCACCTGAGAATAAGTGAAGTACTGCTACAGGGAACAAAGTCCCATTTTGCTGTACCTTTCTCCACGTTTCCCCACAGTTTAGATTTAGAATATTCAGAACAATCCTGCAAACATCCAAACTGGAGTGGGAATTTCAACGCAGTCTGAACACCAATCCTGAACTAACTCGCAAAAGCCACAAGGGTTGGATATAGTTAGTACTTGGTCTATAGACCAATAGGAAATCTGAGATCTGCAGATCATATTGGCAAAAACGACACGGTTGTTTTTGAGCCTACCAGGAATTCAGCTTGGCTCAGCTCAAGCAAGTCTTAACTTACTATTTAAAAATGGTGGGGGAAATGTATTTTCTTTCATGAATTCTGATGATTCTTTTTGAAGAACTCTTAATACATTTCCACCAATATCATCAACATTATTCCAGAACATAATCTGGGGTGGCTCAGAGATCTTCTTTAAAAGAAAGAGGTCAGGAGAAGCTTTGGCCTTCCTTTTCCTGTTGCTGCTCTTTGCTAAATGGCGTAGAGAGCCCAGAAGGTTGAAATTGGAGCCTGCAGATTTTTGTTTTCCAGATGTTACCTCTATCCATTACTTCTTGTCCTGCCTCCAGGTACTTTGGAGAATAGCTTGACTCCCTCTTCTTTGTGGCAGCTCCTTAGAATACGGAACGCTGCTATCATGTCACCTCTAGTCCTTCTTTTCATTAAACTAGACATACCTGATTCCAGCAATTGTTTTTCCTATGTTTTAGCCTCTAGTCCCCTAATCATCTTAGTTACCGTTTGTACTCTTTCTAGAGTCTCAACATCTTTTTTACATGGTGGTGACCAAAGCTAAATTTAGTTTCATGTAAGCCCAGGGCGTACATTTTTTAACTCCCTTATGAATAACTACATGCCTGACACAGAGCACAGTGCAGAAGGCACAATTTGTGGTTGGGGGCTCCGGCTGAACTTCTGGGTTGCAGAACATCCAACAGTGCTGTGCCATCTTTGAAGGGATAAGCCTGGGGGGCAGGGGGACCCTTCTTTTTTTGCCTATGGACAGTTTTAAAGGTAGGGAAGGAAACAGGAAGCCATCCAAAGGCAAATCAAAGTCACATTGAAAAATGTATCCATGTTGCATAGATGAAATCTGCAATTTTGCCACAAGATAGCTATCTTATAATACACTATGCTAATCTGAAATTGCAGAAGAAAAGGGAAGGGTTGATCATGCTCTCACAACAGGCTCAGAATCATTCTTGTTTTGTATACGTAATCCATCTGCCAAATTATGTCCTCCATGCAGAATTGAAGACTCCCCTGGTATCCAATTTTCCATCTTTTTTCCACTATTCTTAGCACATAGAAGTGTAAAAGTTTGAACAATAAAATGCCATGCCCTTTGGGACTATTCTTGCTCATTAACCAGAGTTGTTACCAGTGGCTTTACAGAGCTCTGTACCTTTTAATATAGACATTCACATTATAATGTAAATTGGTCACCCTTTGTTCTCCCTGCCTTTGCCTTTTTGATGTTTGCGAATGTTTAAGGAATCAATAGTAAGCTATATTTTTGGCCAGGCATATTGAGTGGTGTGCATGCTTGCTCAGTTGTGGTTGAATGGGAATGCTCACTAAACTAGAAATTATTCACAATTCTTACCTTAGCTTTGATCTAAGCTTTGAAGAATGAAGGAAGTCTTTCATCCATCATTGTAAAATTGGTTTTCCACAATACCCATGTTTGTTTGTTTGTTTGTATTTGGGAAGGTGATGAATCTCAGCATCCATAACTGGCAAATTTCAAACAAATCACACCATCCTTTTCTAAATGTTCACAAATGAAGAATAATATTCAGCAAAGGCTGAACATTTTGCTTGTGAATGTCAATCTCCTGAAATAGCAGGTGCTTTTCTGATTTCCTTATGTTCTTTTAATGTCAGATACTGCTTAACTGCTTTGACCTCATATCTTGTGTTTGCTTTACTATCTCACCTCTCCTCTTGCTGGGGTGCTAGAAGATGCCGAACAAGAATGGAGAAATGAGTGTAAAATGTCATGAATTTAAGACCGGGAAATGAAGTCTTTCATGTCATGGAATGAATGAATGAGATATGCAAATGAAAGTACATAATGGCAGCTGTATTAATTCCACATATGGAACCCTTTGTATCAGAAGAATTTATTAAATAAACAAAATTAACTGGATTCACAATGCCCCAGAAAAAAATTGATGCCTTTAATGACACAGTTCAGGGCCTTTTTTTACAAAATGCCAAGTATGGGGGATACAAAAACACAATCATGTAAAGTCACATCTGCAGCTAAAAAAAGGAGCAGTTGCAACCATCTTATTTTTTTCTATATCATGTGACACCATGTGTGACACCATGAGTTTGACACTCCTGCCTTAAGAGTCTTGCAGATATGTTGACCGTTTGTGTTAACCTTGGTATTTTTTTTGTGGTTCAGTAGGTCATGTGAACTTCTTATACTGCAAACCCAGAGTACACAATGACCCTAGAAAATGAGTTAGTGTCCAAGTGAAGCATTGTTGTATGAGTTTTCCTGCTGTTTTGAAAATCATAGCACACTATACCTTCATGTATTCAATTATCCTTGTCACTGTTGTCCCTTACGTTCCCATTTAATCAACCCAGAATAGTATTTGTAGCTTAGGGTTGAAAGGTTGAGTCCTTGGTGCTCTCTGAGCTGGCTTGTTTTCTTGCAGATGTTTCATTACTCAAAGTAGGTAACCTCATCAGTGCTAGTTTGGGTAATGAAAAATCTGCAAAACAAAGTCACAAAGCACCAAGGATCCCTCATTCCCATTTCATGCCTATCATTTGCCAGTCTGAACTCAGCCTCCATTGTGAGTGAGATTAGATAGATAGATAGATAGATAGATAGATAGATAGATAGATAGATGGATGGATGGATGGATGGATGGATGGATGGATGGATGGATGGAT